TGGTCCTTTATTTAGGTCAAGGAACTGAATCCTTTTACCTGGGATAAGACTGTGAGCGACAGTTGAGGGAAGGGAGAATTTTTTGTTGAGAATAATTAGTTGGAAAACGTGATTGGCTTATAATTACAAATAACTTGTTTTATTGATGATTAGACGGAAGTTCACAATAAAATAAAATTTGTAAGATTTTATAATGTGTACGTATACATATATGTATAACAATCGCGGTGAGTAAAATTCCGTTATGTCCGATTGAGATCGACAAGATTGGGCCACTGACACCGAATTTCACAATTAAGGAGGAATACCAAGGGAGAGAGAAAAGGAAGAAAAAGGAAAGGAAAAGAAAAAAGAGAAGAAAAGAAGAAAAATGTAAAGAAAGGGGTCACTCAGGCAAAAGAAAGTATAAATAACTTACTACTGGTTCTGTGCTATTTGTCGAAAATAAAGAGTGTAATTGTTGTGTGTCGGTGAGGGCGGATGATCCAAGTTCTGCGCCAAGAATAGGAAGCTGGTTTCAGCTGGATTGCTCACAATGGTCCAAAAATGTGCACGAGATCGTTGCACAGAATAATTAACAACTAAAGAAACACTGATCTGTCTAAGCCACTAGTAGGCTAGATTGTTAAGAGACCCTGAAGGGGTGCTGAAGAGAAGTTTCTGTCCTGGCTGCGGGTCAGTCGAGAAGTGTCTTGGCCTTTTGGCTTTTCTCAAAACGTCAACTCGGTTGAGAGAGTGGAGTTTGGGGAATTGTTTCGGAAATCTAATTTTCATGCCCAAATATAGTCATAGGACTATGCTTCGAATGTTTTTTAGAAGTGGGGGTTAAGAATACGTTGCAGTGTCTTTAAGATAATTTTGTAGGAGATAGGATGCATATGGCAATAAGAGGATTTCGAGTCTTTTGTTAAAAAAAACGTGGCAGCAAGAAGGAAATGTCGATGTTTCTAAGAAGGATGTCAGATACTGTTATCGTTGACTAAGTGCGTGGGAAACAAGATCGGAGTTGGTTCAAGATTGTTAATATTTCCGGAGCATCGAAACTTCCAAAGATCGCGTCGTGTGATAACATGGCTGAGCGCATCCGGCCATATAATAAGTAATAATAAATTCAATTTTCCTTATTTATAAAAGAAGTCTAGAGTGCGCGGAGTCCGCAGGACATAACACCACTATACAGAGTGCACGATTTATCTGAAGACATTGAAATATCTCGAGAACTATGCATTGGATAAAAAAAAGTGGTTAATGAAAGTTGTTAGTCTCGAAGGGGGACATCCAATGATACCAAACTCGATCTCCCACTCCACCCCCTGGGGATGGGGGTTGGGGGCAACTTTGAAATCTTAAATGGAAACTCCCATTTTTTATTGCAGATATGGATTCTACGCCACAAAATACGTAAATTTTGTCGGAAACTTTTTTTTTTATTCGTGATAGATGGCGCTGTAATCGCAAAAAATTATATTTTCCGCAATTCTTCAGAAATGATCATTGGATTGAGAAATAAAAAATACCTGTTCAATATTTTTAAAGAACATAATAAAAGTTATTCCCCTCCATCCTCTCGGGGTAGGGTGGGTGATAACGTTCAAATCTCAAATGGGGACCCACATTTTTCATTGCAGAATTAGATTGTACGTGAAATTTTTATTGAAACAATTTTTTTCATTCGTGATAGATAGCGTTGAATTTTTCCGAGAAACTACTTTTAGCGTTACACAGGAACAACGACGAGGACGTAGTAGTTTTATGTTCCCTTCGAGTGCTTTTTTAATGTGAGTCCCCTTGCCTCTCACAGATCGGGGTGCTTTTTTAATGTGAGTCCCCTTGCTTCTCACTGTTCAATTAATTAGAGTAAGTGTTCGAAATTTTTACCTTCAACTTCAATACACTTATTGATCCTTTTTTCAAATGATTGTACACAGGATAGAAGCATATCTGCGGGAGTTTCAGCGCAAGTTCGGTTCCCATTTGAGATTTGAACGTTATCACCCACCCTAGAGAGGATGGGGGGGGAGAATAACTTTTATTATGTTCTTTAAAAATATTGAACAGGTATTTTTTATTTCTCAATCCAATGATCATTTCTGAAGAATTGCGGAAAATATAATTTTTTGCGATTACAGCGCCATCTATCACGAATAAAAAAAAAAGTTTCGGACAAAATTTACGTATTTTGTGGCGTAGAATCCGTATCTGCAATAAAAAATGGGGGTTTCCATTTAAAATTTCAAAGTTGCCCTCAACCCCCACCCCCAGGGGGTGGGGTGGAAGGTCGAGTTTGGTATCATTGGATGTCCCCCTTCGAGACTAACAACTTTCATTAACCACTTTTTTTTATCCAATGCATAGTTCTCGAGATATTTCAATGTCTTCAGATAAATCGTGCACCCTGTATATTGAATATGATCTGCCGGTAGATGTTCTGCTTGGGTCCTCGGGCTTCCGAGCTTACACCAACTTCATTTTCGTACTACATTATCATAAAAGATCCATTTTTCGTCGTATCTAATCAATTGATCAACAAAAGGTTCATTGCGATATCAGTTGAGTAGTGTAATATACTTGGAGATGCAGTTAAGCTTGTTCCTCTCGCTCAATGCATGCGGCATCTACTTGTTCAATTTGATACAAAGCCAAGTTGGTGAAAGCTATTGATGATGGTTCCGTGAGCTACCCCGAATTCTGTCTCAAGCGCGTAAATGGTAGTATTCAAGATTTCTTTGATTTTGCTTCACAAACGCTCTGAACCTGGGCTCATCCTCCAGGTTAAAATCTCTATTTCGAAATTTTTTAAATAAAAATTGACATGATTTGACGATAATCACATCTTATTCGAAAGCTTCACATAAATCAATGGGTTTCGGTCAATGGGTTTGAGATGTCCGTTTTAAATTTATATAACAAAATTGATCTAATTTTGCTATTTTGTAAACTCCATTTTTTTATTTTTTCTAAACTCACAATAGTTCATAGACTCTCTATCTGCAACAGTTTTTACGGCGAGATTAGATGAATTTAAAACAATCGCCTTTTCTCTTTCCTCTCGTGGTTTGTTTTGCACGTAAACGCGCCAAGTAGGGCAATTCAAAATACGAAAAGACTCTGATTAATCTGATATTACGATATCAATTTGAATTTTACGATAAAATTACGATAAAAAACAATGAGATTCTCTATAAATTTCGTTAGTTTTTGTCACTTTTTTTACGCAGAAGATTATTACGATTTCAATTTGAATTTTTTGTCTCAAGAAATCTTATATACAAAGCTGTCTAAATTATATTAAAGACACATAAAATTATATTATATAAATTACATCAAAAAACAAATAAATCTTGTCTCGTAAAGTTATCTTATAAAGTGAACTAATTGCAATCAGACTGGGTAGCAGTCATTAACGCGAACCTAGGCGCAATATGGTAGAACGTAAGAGCGCCGATGTAAGCACGAATAGCGATGTACGTCGTTAATTATTATTGTAAATTATTATTGTCATTTATTATTGAAACGCACTATATTTTAAATAGCTTGAACACTTCTCCTTTATCATATCGGCGCACACTTATATATTTATTTACTAAAATTAATAATTCAATAATTATTTCGTGAATATCATAAAATGAGACCTTTTTATTTACTTCAATTCCTTCTACGTCCTCAAGAGCGGTAGCAGAGTTGTTCTGGGATATTTTATATAAAGTGTTACAAATATTCCTGAAAATTAAAATAATTAAAATGAGAATTTTAAGCCTGCACACGATATTAACATGAGATAATAAAAGTATAACAATTTATTTAAATACAAACCTGTCTATTATATAAAACACATGTCAAACCTCTGTCTAGACTTACATTTGATAGGCTTCTGAGAACATTGAGAATGAAATAATAAAACTCGTTTAATAACCAAAGTGTCCGTAAATTAATATCTATTGACTGCTTTATATGTAATATCTCTGAAATCATGCGTCTTTTATAAGATAGCTCGAAATCTAAAATTTCGAGGTCGTCGAAATCAAAATTATGACCACTTTTATACGGTGTTCATCCATTACCGATGGATTTCCGTAATTAATTTTTTCATGTTTCCGTATTGTGGTTTGTGACAATCTACTTGTCTGGTCATGAGGTGCATTGTTTGCAATATATTCGACATTCCACATTTTTATATCAGTCCGGAATGATATCCTTTTATATCCTGATAATGCCTTGCAAATCCTGAGATCCACAGAACCCGATCTTAATATTAATTGATTTAAACAGAGGAATACAGGATTCAGATAAGTTTTCTATATAAGGTAACGAAATAAACCGGACAGCTTGCTCACTTGTCTCATTAGATTGATGTAATTTCCAATATGTATTTCCAACACGTCATACTCATAAACATGTAAAATTTCTGTTTGCGTCATACCAAACTATATATTACATATAAAAACCATGCTTCATGTACGTCACGTTCAATTTGAAATATTTTGGCTTAACGTCGTCTTGTTTGATTATTATAACGCACAAATATATCATATTAATCACCAAAAATTATCATATGAAGACTATAAGAGTGTTTCCACGGCATTTCCTGATATTCTTCCACATGTCAGGAAAGTTAGAAGACACAGATCCGGAGGAGAAATCACATGGAATTCACTCCCGATCTGTAATACATGTGGACTTCATGATTTAAGGAAGTGCAGTGCATTACTGAGAATGTGTTTTGGTATATTTTCAACTGTCTCAGAAGATAGCATAGATCGATGTGTTGGCAAAACAGCGTAATTTTTAATTAGTGATGAGGGCTGAGTACAGAGCCAAAACGTTTGATATGTGTTTTATGTCCTAGACAGGATTTTATTTAAATAAATTTTTAACATCTTATATTAATATCGTGTGCAGGCTCAAAATTGCCATTTTTATTATTTTAATTGTATTTGAAAGAGCCTTAAAATAACATTTTGCTGAAAACTGATAGAAAAATTGACAATTCTTTTTTTCAGATTTTATCGTTCAATGGGATTTCTTATGTAAGAAGATAATCGGTTCTAGAATTCTCGGAAGGGGTAAGATAAAAATGCCATCATCTAATTTAAAAATTGTAACAGCACTTAAAATTTTATACAGAAATTTAAAAAGTGTTCTTAAAAACAAATTGTATTTTAAAAAATTTAGAAAGTTATTTTTTGAAATTTTCTATTGATATTTTGCCTTATATAACCTAATCATAATTGACGAAAAAACCTTTTCCATATATTTTACTGTAATTTTAATGTAATTTATACTTTTATAATTATACATATAATTATACAGTAATTTATAATTTTACTGTAATTTATTTTTTTAATTTATTTATACAGAATGTTAGTCACAACTAGAGTTTCCAATCCAGGGATCCTGGATCCCGGCCACATTTTTGGTCCTGAAAATACTCGGGATTCAACAACACAAATCCCGGGATTTCGGGATTTCAAATTTAATGCTTAATGTCTATATAATACATACGTTTTACAAAAATTTTACTTTAATAATTATTACTTATTACTGATGTTTTAGAGCATTTGCTAGAGAAGTGTATATTTATATTTTAAATTTAATTCCATGTATTATTTTTATTTGTTTTAAATATTAAGGAAGTTTTTTATTTTAAATTTCGCGGATAAATTGACGCAACACAGACTCGAATCCGGGATCCTCGATTAGATATTTTTTAACAAAATTTATGTTTTATTATTTTTAAAGTCGCTTTTTCAAATGTGAAAAAGAAGAAATAATTATTTTTATTTTTATTACAAAAACTTTAATTTTTAATTGTAACGGTTTTTATGCAATCATTAATGTAAATTGCTTTCATTTTTACTGAAATTTTATTTTTTTGTTTGTCATAATGTTCATAAAAGTCTATGAACGTTCTCTAAATAAAATAATTCTATTATTTGTAAATATTCCTTGTTTCTTTCTTTATATATAAATAATCCCGGGATGGAATTCAAAAAATTCCGAAATCCCGGGATTGGAAACTCTAGTCACAACACACACGACAAAGCTCGTGTTTTGTGAAAGACATGTTATAAATTTTATAATAGAGTAATATGATTTATATTTGCTAGGTATATTAGGATATCTATATACAACTTTCTTCCGTGGACTACAAAGTTCCCAATGATGTTTTCATCAGGTCTTAATTGTAATCTCTCCTTCCCAAGTTGTTTGGGTTATCCACAAGATAGTGAAGAGTTGATTCCGAAAATGGCACGTGAACCAATCATTTTAAATGTTTATGATATGGTAAGCTACTATATTTATTATCATCATAAAATAAAAAAGTTTTTAATCTTTTAACTGCTATAGGTATACAGGGTATCTGCAAAGTCCAACCCCACCACTGGATCTCGGAAACGGCTGTAAATATGGAAAAATGTTTCAGACAAAAGTTGTAGGACATTGAGGAGGACACATGATAAAAATATGGACTTGACCTTGAGTGATTTTACCAAGGCTAGGTCAATGTGATCGATGTTTTCTTAAATGGAACCTCCTTTTTATTGCATATTCTTGTAGCCCTTATCGAGACATTTTCAAAACACTACCTATTTTTGTTTTTTGCGCAAGCCATTCCCAATATATGAAGCTTCAAAGTTGACATACCGCATTCACATTACCCAACGTGTACCGCGTGGAGGTTGCACGGTCGGATTTACGCCTCTTGTGTGTGTATATGCGCGTGTGCATGTGCGTGTACCTGTGCGTGTGGTGCGTGTGCGTGTACATGTGCGTGCGCGTGCCTGTGTGTCTCTCTTTCTCTGTGCGTGTGCGTGTGCGTGCGTGCGTGCGTGCGTGCGCGCGCGCGCGCGCACGCACGCACGCGTGTGTGTCACAGTAGAGGTAAGGACCCCACGGTTCATCATTCCCGTAGTATTTTTTGACTCATTTTGAGCATCTCCTGCGGTAACGGCAAGAAAATAACTAATGTAAGGGGAAGGAGAAGAAGAATGGTAGAAAGACAGTAAAAGAGAGACAGTGAGAGAGAGAGAGAGAGAGAGAGAGAGAGAGAGAGAGAGAGAGAGAGAGAGAGAGGGGGGATGGGGAGAATTTTGACTGAAGAAACACATACACACAAAATTGACTCTTTTTAGGGCCACAACACACGCACACACACAGTGGAGAGCGTTTGAAGTCAAACAATACTACGGGAATGACGAACCGTGGGATCCTTATCTCTACTGTGACACGCACGCACAAGAGGCGCAAATCCGATCGTGCAACCTCCACGTGATACGCCTTGGGTAATGTGAATGCCGGCGGTATGTCAACTTTGAAGCTTCCTATATTAGGAATGGCTTACGCAAAAAATAAAAATAGGTAGTTTTGAAAACGTCTCGACAAGAGCTACAAGAATATGCAATCAAAAATAGAAGGTTCCATTTAAGAAAACATCGATCATATTGACCTGGCCTTGATAAAGTCACTCAAGGTCAAGTCTATATTTTTATCATGTGTCCCCCTCAATATCCTATAACTTTTGTCTGAGACATTTTTCCATATTGAAAGCCGTTTCCGAGATCCAGGAGTGGGGTCGGACTTTACAGATAACCTGTATATTAGATCATTAAGTATGAAATATCCGATTTCGAATCAAAAGTTTGGTTTATTATATCTCAAATCAAAAATAGTAAAATTAATCAAAGTATGCGCCTACAGTATCGACACAGTTCTGCCATTTTAACGGTAACTTATTCATGCCAGCAGCGAAGAAGCCTGAAGAGCGAGTGACGATGAAATCGCTGAAGGCATTTTCCATAGCTTGTTGAGAATTGAATATTTTTCCTTGCAAGAAGTGATCTGGTGCCTGGAAGAAGTGATAGTCAGTTGGTGCAAGATTTGGTGAATATGGTGGGTGACAGAGAGTTTCCAAGTCCAGCTGCTGTAGTTTGAGCAACGTTGTTTATGCGACATGTGGCCGAGTGTTGTTTTGCAAGAGGATTGGCTTGTCTCTATTGACCAATCTCGACTGCTTAACCGCAAGCATCCTCATCATTTCGTCCAGTTGGTTACAGTAGACATCCGCTGTAATCAATTGACCAGGTTTCATGAAGCTGTAGTGGACAATATCAGCACTGGACCACCAAACAGACATCATTAGTTTTCTTTTGTGGGTATTTGGTTTTTGACTCTGTTTCGGCACTTCATCTATATCCAACCATTGTGCCGAACGCTTGCAATTGTTGAAAAGAATCCATTTTTCATCACACGTAATAATACGATGTAAAAATGGTTCACCTTTATATCGTGATAGTAAAGAAAGGCAAGCTTCGAGACGATTCCTCTTCTGACGCTCGTTTAATTCATGCGAAACCCATCTATCCAGCTTCTTTACCTTACTGATTTGTTTCAAGTGATCCAATATCGTTGGAATAGTAACCTTGCTGCTAATTCACGCGTAGTTTGAGATGTATCCGCTTCCACTGCAGCTTTCAGCTCATCATTATCCACCTTGGTCTCGGGTCACCTACGTGGCTCATTTTCAAGATTAAAATCGCCAGAACGAAACTTCTCAAACCATCGACGTACAGTGCGTTCATTAGCCACATCTTCACCAAACACTTTGTTGATATTTCGAGTTGTCTGCGCTGCATTGGTTCCACGACGGAATTCGTATTCGAAAATAATACGAATTTTTAACTTATCCATGGTTACACAAAGATTGCTGTAACAAAGACATTTCGAAAGATAATCACAAGCCAAAACATGCGTTTGAAAGAGTGATGTACCTTCACAAGGAAAAAAAACCAAGAACTGTAAAGGTATTCAGAGATATCGACTGTCGAACTTAGTATTTAAGGAAATCGGATATTTCATATTTAACGACCTAATATATACGCCCTGACATATCCATTGATGTATATCACACGTATATACAGAGTGTCCCATTTTAAAAAACGCACAATTCTTCCTCGACAATTCTTCAACAAAGCATTTTCAGCAGAAATGTTTCGGACAAAAGTTATATGATTTCAAGGGGAACATAAAACAACTATACTATTTTGTTTATAAATGGCACCATTTTTTAGATATTCATCATTCATATTTTTGAAACCATCATTACTTTTCTTAAATGGATACCCCAATTTTTTATTACACCGTCTTTTTCGACCAATTAATTTAAAAAACTTGTTTGAACCTCTTTTTTATTTGCATAATAATTAAGGAAAACTTGATAACTTTATCAAAATATTTCACTCACGATATCTCGCTAACTATTTGTCGGAAGAAAAAGTGGTATTAGACTTTTCAGCTCTATTTCATCTCAAGAATATCATATATTGTTATAATAGCGCCCTGAATTTTGATAACTTACTGAAATGAGAGGAACAAAAAAGTCTTGTTGCATTTAGCGATATCTCGCGTAGTTTTTTTAGTAATAACCGCGTAAAGTTTGGCGATGGCGTCTTGGCGCTTTGACGCCGCGCGACAGTCAGTGTGAGCCGCGTTAAGACCGTATCACACTAGCGACTCGTGGCTGCGGCTGCGATTGCGATTGCGATTGTGATTCTTCCTCGACCAGTCAGAAAGCCGTCTAAGCGACAGTCGTGAGTCGCAGCCGCGAGTCGCTGCTTTCTGATTGGTCGAAGAAGAATCGCAATCGCAGCCGCAGTCGCGAGTCGCTAAAAACTGTATCACACTAGCGACTCGCGGCTGCGACTGCGACTGCGATTGCGATTGCGATTGCGATTTCTTGCTTTCCAATCACACTTGCGATTGGCGATCGCGGCTGCGGCTAAATACTGTCATGTACCAGAGAGAGGCCTGAGAGCGGCCATGGTTGCATTTACAGCGTTATCGAAAAATTGGCTGATTCGAAGTGCCAACTGGGTCCATTTTTCATGGATATGAACTACTAAGCCAATGTCCACGATTTGTTGGTATTATTCCGTTCTATGTTCATAATTATTTGGTTCTGTTTTGTGCTATGTTCACGAGCGAGCTAGATTAGTCAGATAAAAACGGAGAATCGGTCTTTGTCTCACCACCAGCGAATAGACAATCGCGACGATAAACTGAAGCGAGCCAGCAGCGATGTTATCGTAAGGCAGACGTCGCCGTCTTCCCTTTCACCCCCTTGTTTTCCTTTCCACATTGTTTTATATTCATAATTCGGGAAGAAAATAATTTCGAGAGTTCGGACGATTTCTAGCAATGACGCGACAGAGATAACGCGCGGCCACATTAATTTGTCATGACTTTTATATTACTTATAATTACATAAACGCCCATATATGAAAATTATAGATAATTATTGCGCTTATGTTTTAATATTGTATAATATGGTATATAATAACAATAACTTCATTTCTTGCAGTAATTTTTTTAAGATCTTCGTTGAGGCCGTGAATTAATTTTTTTCTTCATCAATCAGTTTTCTGCAAAAATTAAGATTTTTTAAATAAAATTTAAAATGATTCGCTTCTCTTCTCTCCGAAGAGTTAATTAAAAAATGTGTATTCCACAGAGTTAACTAAAACATGTGTAGTTAGAACAGTGTTACGTCCTGTAGATTTAATTAGTAAAAATTCTTTCCTCTCGCAGATTTATATTCTCCTAATATAACTATAATAGGAATATATACATATATAAATATAAATTAAGAAACAGACCCATCTGGCGAACAGCCGTCGCGCCAAATGAAAAGCGATTCGGGAAAATTCCATAACAGGAAACAATGCCCTGTTGTAAAAACCTATACCTGGGTAGTGTTCGCCAAGTGTGTCCGTCGTCCCAGCTATAAAAACTTGAAACTCCGCGCTAATAAACCTTCAGTGAAACAAAGCAACTCAGAGCATTCCTGCTCTGAAACTCACATCTTCCCAATCCAAAACCATATGTGCCCAATCAGTCAACCAACAAAGCCTACTTCACTGATAGTCGTAAAATCTGATCCCAGCCTTTGATTTACGGCATTTTGATTTTTCCAACCGTCCACTTGTATACATTTCTCTATCTCAAGAACCCACCACCTCTACGCTTGTCGCGCCTAACTCATTCAGCCAATCATATATCCACCTAAAACTATGAGACACTCACGCTCCACCCTTTAGCCCTTCCATATTCATATCTCCAAAAACTAACTGTCTCCTCCCACGATGTCTTTTAACTTTGCTAATGGCTGAGACTTTTTCCCACTAAGACCAATCCACCCCTTCCTCAAAGGCCATCCCTCTACCCACCCTGATAGCTTCTGCCTCCGATTATCACTATAAAAACCGCGGTAATCCGCCTCCGCGGCCACTTCTACTTCAACTTCTACCGTTACTTCTATTCTGAGAAACAGAAAGAGCAGATTCACATAGATTCTAGATTCAAAAATCAGACTTGTAAAAACACGTCCTTAGACTCAAATTCGTCTTCGGTTTTGTTTCGGC